TTATATTAAAGCCGTTTTTTTTTTTTTTTTTTTTTTTTTTTTTTTTTTTTTTTTTTTTTTTTTTTTTTTTTTGCATGCGAGGGTCATGAGTTCCTACTTTGTAAATCCTCTCTTTTCCAAGTACAAAGGCGGTGAATCGCTGGAGCCAACTTACTACGACTGCAGATTTCCACAAAGTGTTAGCAGGAGCCATGCTCTCGTGTATGGTCCGGGCACTACTGCTCCCACCTTCCAGCACCCTTCACACCACGTCCAAGAGTTTTTCCACCACGGAACCTCCAGCATCTCCAACTCTGGATACCAGCAAAACCCATGCGCCTTGGCGTGTCACGGAGACGCTTCTAAATTCTATGGATATGAAGCTCTACCGAGGCAATCGCTTTATGGTGCTCAGCAAGAGACGACTGTTGTACAATATCCTGACTGTAAATCGTCTTCCAACAGTAACTCTAGCGAGGGACAAGGGCATTTAAATCAAAATTCGTCTCCCAGTCTCATGTTCCCATGGATGAGACCTCACGGTTAGGACCTTTTTTTCCTCCTTAAATGTTTTCCTTTATTTTTTTCTCTCTTCCTCTCTCCCTCTCTCTCTCCCCTCTCTCTCTCTGTCTGTCTGTCTATCTCTCTATATATATGTATGCATATACAAGCACAAACATATGTATAGCTATATAAACATGCACATACACACGTATGCATACATATATATATATGTAAAAATATAAATATAAGAGGCGTAGCTGTAAAATATGAAAGAAATGAGCAGGTTTGTGCTAATGTTTCTTCTTTTTAGGAAGACCTTTGAAAGCAAACAAGACAGCAGTTACTAGAGAGCCAGCAAGGTGATTCCCTGCAAAAGGCTTAAATCACAATAAAGTAAAACTTGTTTTTTATTGCTTGCCTTGAGGATAGGCAATAAGATACAGCTCCCACGAGGTTATTTGCATGTTGATAATACACTGCTCTTTAAAATGTCATATAGCCTTTCATAACCGCTGGGAGACGAAGCCTGAAAGGTGGGAACTTGTATAAGTATTACTAATACTTTACATCTCTTTCTTAAAGCCTAGAGATAAAAGTTTAAACAGAAAAGGAAACTTAGCTCAGAGCTATGGGGTGGGGTGGAGGAGAACAGCCTGCTGTCCTGGGTTAAAAAAAAGGGGGTGGGAAATTCAAAATAATTCGGGCTGAATGGAACTTTGCTCATGTGAAGTCCAGATAATTGCACAGAAACTGAAATACTTCAAAGTACAAGTTTCCCCCACCTAAGGACCAAGGTTGTCTCGAAGCCTTGTTAATTCAAAACATGTGAAGGTTAGTGTTAATTTTAAGGACAATCAGAGCCCCAGAGTTTTCCCTCCTACCCCCCACCAAAATTTAACAACAACAACAACAACAGAAAAAAAGCAAATAGAAAGGAGTTCTGGCTAATACAGAGGGGATGTGGCCCAGAGGCTGGGAGATAGACGCAGAGGAAAACACGTTATTTATCTAAGCTTTGACCTAGAGGTAGTCTCAAGGATGCAATCATTTCAAAGTGGAGCTTTTTTTTTTTTTTTTTTTCCCTCCAAATAGATTGTTTTTCTCATTAAGAAAGGACGGTGCAGAAGGAAGTGCAGGGGCTCAGCTGCACATACCTCAGTCCTCTTTCTTTCTTTTTTGGCTATTGCTGCAAATGTCCATCTCGAGTTGTTTTAAATACAATCCCTGTGTTTGCACAGGCAAATATCCATCTCTGTCTGCGTGTGCTTTACAGACACACAGCCCTAACCGGGAGGACAGGGAGACGGGATTTAATGGAAAATTCAAATTCTCAGGGCGTAAATATTGGCAAATAGGAGGACCCTGAGCCTGTATTTTGGGGAACAACATTTGGAAACAAGAGTTGGGCATTTTGAGGAAAGGAAAGAAGAGAGAAAGAGAGAAAGAAAGAGAGACAGAAAGAAAGGAAGGAAGGAAGAAAAGGAAGGAAGAAAGAAGGAAAGAGAAAGGAAGAAAGAAAAGGGAATGGGGAGGAGGAGAAAGGCTGGAGAGGTTTTTATGGTGAACAATGCACCTTTCACAGGAAAATACATATTTTCTCTAAAATGGAGCTGCCCACCAGGACTCACCACCCAGAATCACCTTTTAGGAAACTGGAAAGGGCTCTTTGTGAATGAGCTTGACACACACCTCCCTGCAGCCAGCCAAGCAGCCCGGCCGAGCGCTCCCCGGGACGCGCCAGCGAAGGGCAGCTCCTGTCAGTGGCAGCAGCACCAGCAGCCCTGGGGATATTAATAATAACCCGGCGACGTCCTTCAGCGCCTTTAGTATGTACAGGGCTCAAAGGGGCTTTTTTTGGGGCGGGGGGG